GGGAGATTTGTCAGCCCCTGCCACAAACATGCACAGCAAACCTGGCCATTTACTGAGCAGATTAGCTTTCTAATAGAAGAGATTTTTTCATCTGGGGCTAATCTGCTGCTCATTTATAATCTCTGCACAAATCTTTGCAAAGCCTGGAGGGATTTAGAGTCTTTGTATACCACAATGGGCTGCAGAAGAATTTCATGACAAATATCTGGGAATGCCATAAACAACCTGCAGTGAACCTCACAGAAAGGCACTTTCAACTTCACTTGGGCTGCCTATGCCTGACACAAAAAATCCATGGGTGCTCCTGAAGTCTATTTATGTTACTTGCTTTTTCAGAAAGCAGATAGTGATCTCATTATGCATTATCTGCATTAAGTGTTGCCAGCAAGGCTCCACTGAGGTCAGAACCCAGCCAGCACAGCAATGACATCACCATCTTGAACCCTGATTTTGCTTGCCTTGCTCAACAAGAGTGCGATGTGTTTAACTGTATTAAAACCAGTGGGATTGACCCAGGGGGGAAAAGTCAACAGGAAAAAGTGGCAGAGGTTATTCATCAAGATCACCATAAGTCATCTTACTTGAAAGGCAAAACGTATTCAGAAGGGCAACATATCAAAGGCAAAATGTACAAACTTGATTTAAAATTGAATTGAACATGTTTGTAAAGCAGCATGTACAGTGTTTACAAAGCTAGAACAGGTGGGTGCCTTGTACTGCTAAATATATTAACTTTCAAGAGGTTTTGTTGGATGTATAGAGTCATCAAATATCTTCCTATGCCATGAAACACAACTGTGCTAACAGAAAAGACAAAGTACCTTTAGGATGAAGAAAATCAGCTAAAAATTCTCCTCCTATCTGAGTTAGTGACAGATTTGCTATGGCCAACCCTCCAATCCCATCACTAGCACTAAGAAGAACCAAATACCTACAGCACTAAAAGGAAAGAGAAAATAGAGTAGATAATTTTTAGAAACAGGGGAGTAGTATTAGACTTACAGATTAATTAAATCACCTGAAGGCCCTCTCTTGACTGAATCAATTTTTAGAGCAAAAGTTCACCCTTTCCATCAGTTTAAAAAGAATTAAAATTAATTTTTGTCAAGGAGCCTTTGCTTAGCCTTGATGCTTTTCTTGCCTTTCTTCCTCTTTGTGTTCAGATCTGCCCTATCTGCTCTATTAATTCAAGCAAGCTGGAAGCTCTCAAGATGGTGGTGGTATTTCAGCAAGAAATTGGTCATTAAAGGGTGAAACAGGTGCCTAAATATAGGTGATCGGTCCATTCTGGCATATCCTGGGGTGCCTGCCTGACATTCCAGGAGGGTACAGACCTCCTGTAGGTCCTGAGTCTAATCTGCCAGGATACTTCCGGATAGCTCAGGTACCTTTTGGGATGTAAACTGGCAGTAGGTCTTATGCTTAAGCACTGCGTCACTACCAAGGTGAGATATTTATTTGTCCACCTTCCTCTCAAGTTTGCCTGCATGTTTCTCCTCACACAAAGAAGCTAGGAAATTCTGCTAAAATGGTATTTTACTTTTCCTACCCTATCCAAAGACATTCTCATAATTTAAAGAAGCCATCTGTGCACTTTCTTCTCTCTGCTCACTATCCCTGCTTCCCAAACATGAATGGCCAAGCCAGTCTTATCAGTTATTAACCTTTCCTGCTTCCAATGTTGCACTGCCAGGAGTGCAAGTTCATTAGCACTTCAGCTGTCTCTGAGCGGATTATGCCCAAAAGCTGCCAGGAATTTGGACAAGAACTATAAAACTGGCAGTGTATTCAGTATAGCACTATACGGTATATTCTTAGCTACATTATTTATGCATTCTTCTGACTACTCTGACAAGAGTTCCCCAGAGCTCCTGCTTCTGGGCTTAGCACTGGTGAAGCAGTATGGGTGTTTTCCCACAGGATGCAAACATGCTTTTAAGCTTTGCTCCTGGTAAAGCCAACTGAAGCTTACCCTTTGCTCAGCTGGTATATAGCTGCACCCTTGGAGTTAACTTGCCAGCGTGGAAAAGCTCCTGTGACAAAATAATTTTGAAGAGATTCCTTGCAAATGAAGGAATAGGTTCTGTGGTATCAAACAGATTTATCCTGCCCATGAATAACTTTATTTTCTCTTGCACTGATTCTACTTAAGCCCCTTTGTAATTGCATTTGCAAAATGAGTTAAGAACATGCATCAATCTGGCTGGCCAGTATCCAGGTCCCTGTAAGCACACCAAGAAAAACACAGAGGTCACATCTCGTTAGTCTAATCATAAAGGTATGTTCAAACTTCAACCATTAAACACTGCCTGTAATTTAACAGGGACTTTTTTCTACCATTTTGGGTATAATGGGTAATTTTAATCTCTGAAAAAATGCAGTCATAAATAAAAATATTCTGATGATTACTAAGTGCCAACTGATATGTGGGCTGAAAAATAGTAGAAGGCAACTGTTTAGGTTTCATATAAATGGGAAGATGCTGAAATTATTGCCAACACTGTGGCACTGATAACACTGTTAATAGCAGCACTCAATGAGAAGTCAAAGGTCACTTTAAAAGGTAGATACCATAATTGTTTTGAACTCAGAATGAGTTAGAAGAATATAAGAATAAAAGAATATAGGGAGGCCATGGATCACCAAATCCAGTGCTTCCTGTAACCCATGATCCCATCATACAATCCCTTTTCCTTAACTGACCATCCTGTCTTGAATTAGGGTATTAACCTGTTTGCACGTGCTGGGTGGCTGTTACGTAGTTGGCCATCAACATCTACAACTGTCAACTTAAATCTATTTATCGACAGTATTTTGCTCCTGTACTAAAAGAGTCATTTAGTGATACAGCCTTTTCCCATTCCTGCCTTTAACCTTCAGGTATATTTTCCAAGCACAATCAGAGCTCCCTTCAGTTGGGAAATTCCCTTAGGTGACTTTACTTTTCGGTTTCCATTTGTGAGACAGTCTCTCCATTCCTCTGTATGTGGTGAGAGCCCTTCCCTGTATGTGCACCTCTCTAAAGTCACCTCAGGGTATACTAACTCTGGTACACACCAGAGACTGCACTTTTCTTTTACTGGCTTTGCTGCATTGGTGGCTTGTAGTGATCTGAGTACAAACAGGACATTTCCTCTCCAGTTTAGTTATACAGCTCCATTTCTGATTGAATAGACTGGTTTAAAACCTGTATACCAGGACCTAGTCCTCATGACCTCACAAGCACGTAACTTAGACCCAAAGTCTCCCCATTCCTCCCCCTGCCATTTTGCACATATTAAACTTATTTTGCTTTACTGCACTTCAAATGTGATAATTTCCCTTTCTGTAACATCATTCCTATTTGCAGCGAAAATTAATTGCACTTGGAGGCCACACTTAGCAGGATTTGCTCTCCTCTTTTGGTGCATATGGGTAAAATCTTATTCTGATGGTTTCTGCAGGGTTTACCTCAGCCTGCTACTTGACAAGTACCAATTTATCTCTGTGCTGCCTGGCCCCTGCTATTTCTGAAAATTTGCTGGTTTGAAATCAAAAGCCTTATTTAGAAGCCCTATTGTTTGTTTGTTGGTTTTTTTTTTACCCTTCCCTTCAATTTACCCCTGCAAGATCCCATAAACCAAAGTTGTATAACATGGCAGAAACCTCATGAAGAAGAACAGTGAAAAGTGGATGTAGGTGAGTGTGGTTGCTGTGTAGAAGTTTGGTGATGGCTTTTGTAAGCTTAAGTTTACAAGTAATCTCAGGCTAACACAGTGCAAGCAGTAACCCTAACAAACCAGGGACTGTCTTGGCAGACGGGAAGGGAAGCTGAGGTGCCTCCTAAGCCCTATACATGTGCTGTTCACCTCTGGCATGGGGTGTCTCTGTGGGTAGCATCTGCCAAGAGGCATTGAAAGGTTTCACCACCACCTGCATAGGACTCACCAGAGCACAGATGCGCCTTGCACCTGGATTTTCAGTCCCAGGAGCTACAATCTCAGAGGAACTGTGATGCAAGGGGCAGGACACACCTCTCTCTATGCTGGGTGGTCCATGCAGCGGTGGGATGGCATACACAATGCCTCTTCCACAGACACCGGGTCAGACAATTTGACAAGCTTCATGAATGCAATTCACTCTAAGCAAAAGTACTCTTATTTGAAATCTGAACAACAGTCTTCCAAAGGTGAGGCTCTGTGCTCCTAGATTTGAACAGTAAGCAGCAATAAATACCTCTGCAGTGTAGGAATGCACATTAACCTGGCTCTGGATTGCCACAGATAGCCCCTCTGCAGGACAGGCAGCTATTAAAAGCTTGCTGCTTGTTATCCCCTTTATCTCCCTCGGATGTGGTGTAGTTAAATAGAGCATGCTGATACATTGCCCAGAAATGGTGCCTACAGATGTCTTAACAAATAAATTCTCTTTCAGAACACGGTTACGAGCACTTGAGATTAGTTCAAAAGGAGAGTCTGTGGGAATGTCTCTCTCAGGCTGCTCTTCAGGGCACATTTCTTTTCCTTCACCACCTCTCACCCCATCCTGATAATCACTGTGCCAAAGAGATGCAGTTTGTCACCCTGTGATGCTAGAAAATAATGAGTACCATCAGGAATTCTGCTTGTCTTCCACAAAAGAAACCTCATAACTGAGAGCTATTTTATAAACCCCTGTCAGTTCTGTGCCCATATTTCTTATAAAACTACACCCATCAGCCATCATTTCTCCACTCAGGCTCATAATTCTTCCTCTCCTCATTCTTTTAAACAGCTACATCGTCTGACATCACTCTACATAAACTGAGGTTGACTGATATCTGGGTAGTATTATCATTGCTTTCCTGATTTCACACTTACAGAAAGAGGTTTCAAGTTCTTTCCTTAGTGGTGCTGTCCTGGGTTGCTCTCCTGGGATAGAGCAAAACCAAAAAAAGCCTCCTTTTCTGCTGCCATTGCAGGTTAAGCTTTCCTGCACAAAACTAGTAAACGTGCTTCTGTTTCCCTTTGTGCTAAACTTACCTGCAAAAGGATCCTATTTCCATCTTGGTCTTCTGTCTGCCACCTGCCTTCACTGATGGGGCTGCAAGGGTTGGGCAAGAGAGGCACAAGCTGCCCCACATCTTTTACTCTGAACTCCAGCACCGCTGACTCTGTTGGCATTGGCACCTGGCCCTTTGGAAGCTTTTTTAAAGAAAACTGAATGTCTATTTCCATGTTAGAATAGACAGGAAAAACACAAAAGTCTGCTTTTTTCTGACATACTGGTCTTTTCAGTATTAACTCGTACAGCTTCAAAATGTCAGCAAAGTTTTCACTCCTGCAGTATATAGTGAAGCGGATAATTTCTTTCCCGTAGTGCACTGGGCGAATGGCCCACAGAGGAGTCTCTGGAGCCAGAGTGTAAAAGTCCTGGCTGCATGGCATGTAAGGGAGGAACTTCCCATGCACTTGCTCTGTGTGGTGGTAATGCCAAGGTGGCTGCTGAAAAGTTTTGTGGAGCTGCAAAATCGGTTCCTCTCCATATTCTTCCTGCAGAAACAGGATGATGGCAAGGGCTGGCTGGGAAACACCAGCCTTACCTGGCTTCCTGTGCTTTTTGGGTGCTCGTCTTTCTGAGACTTGAAGCAGCTGGAGGTCTGGATGGATCCAGGCTAGAAGCTTATCAATGGCTTGCTGAAGAGTCTTGGATTCACCTGGGTCTGTGATAATATGTACACTAACAAGGAATGGGTCTTGTATGCCTTCCACTGAAAGGTCACCTGAGAGGATTAAAAGAAAAATATCCTTTAAGTTTTGAAGCCAAGTTGTTGACATTTACGTGATCCTTAAAGGAGAAAAGGTCAACATGGTCACACTGGGCTTTTTTTTCCAGCTCTCTCAAGGTCACCATGAAGCTCAAGCTAAAAATAATATGCAGAGACATGGCAACCACAAAATAATGAGAAGACAGAGGTTTCATCAAGCGTACCATAAAAGTTGCTCTTTCTACTGAGGTAGCACCCAAAAGACATTAACCAATGTGCACTTCTGTGTTCAAAAAGAGCTGCTCCATACAGCTGAGAGGTAGAAAAGACAAAAATACTGATGTAGAATTGGGGGTGGGGGGAGGGAAGGGACACTGATGATGTGTGGGATGATCAGGGTGGACAGTGTTCATCCCACCTTGGTTTAACATGTGCCAATTGGCTCCGGGCATGGTAATCACACCACTGAATTCTGCTCTATCACCTTGATGGTGGAGTTTTCCAGCCAGTTAAGAGTGTTCTGTGTCCTGGAGGCAACTGTTTAATAAGTAAGACAAAGTTTGTAGGGGGAGGTAATATCTTTTATTAGACCAGCTGATACAGTTAGGATAAAAAACAGACAGGCCTTCAGGCACACATGTCCTTCTTCAGGAAAATATATTACTTGCCCCTACAAATCCTTCACTGTTTATATCTTCAGACCATCAAGACTATACAGTTTTTATCAGATTAGGGAAGACTGGTAAGAGCAGGAAGCACAAAAAATTACAATTACTCAGGGGAGAAAAAGAACCTTCTAGTTAGCCTTGGGAATGTTCACAGGGGCTCTCTGTTGTTGTCCATAAAACCTCATTGATAGCTCAGAAGCCGAGCAATGGCTGGCTGGAGGGCAGAGGAGAAATTGTTGCTTCTGTTCTGCTGGAGCGGCATGCTAATAAAGCTGCATGTGAATGGATGCCCAAAACAGTTTAATAAATTATCCAGGTAATCTGGATATTTTTGCTGAAGTTGTTTCCCCTGTGTGGTGCTCTGAAACCACCTCCATGTCTGAGACCCTGAGCCTGGGCACAAAGCCTAAATGCGTAAAGCCTTAGAAAGGCTTCCCAAGCTTTTCATTGTGCAGACCACATTTAATAGGGGGATTGTCTCACAGGCTGTTTCCCCTGCTATTGGCAATCAGTACAAACCTCTCCCTCCTCCTTCCTGGCACCAGAATAACATTCCTGTGATACTTCAGCAATTGTTTTAATGGAAAAGCAGTATTACACAAGTAATGTATTTTAGTTGTCTTTCAATACAGAATAGCTACAAGATCCAGAGAAAAGCTAGATGCAACTGCATAGCTTTCCAGAGATGACTGGTAAACATACCATCAGCCTCAGTTTAGAAACAGCAGAAAGATATAGTATGCAGAGCGAATAGCAAGCATGCATTTTGCCTAGGGCAAATATAGAAAAAGCAAGTAGATAATAAAAATACAATTACATCACAGTTCTTGTATCTCTGCATGAAATGGGTGATGCAGAATGACTTTGTCAGATGGTTAATGGAAGAAAAAAACTGAAGCAAAAAAATAATCTGCGTCATTATATGGCAAAAGGCTTTGCTGTGGCAATTGTTACTGGTATGCAATACTTTGAGATATTCCCTGTAGATAGTCACAAGAAAGATAAAAGGGGTGTGTGTGGGGGTCTTCTCATAGTCCTTTACATAGGACAGCAGGACAGGAAGGGAAACAAATTGCAGAGGACAGTGATCTAATAAAAACAGAAAGAAAGCAATTGCTATAGCTATGCAGTCATTCATTTTCCAAGACTGGAATGGAAGATGTTCCGCTCTTTTCTCTCTCCGTTTCCTTTGTTATACAAATGCTACCAAAGCCTGCAACAAGTGAAAGCCTTGATATTTATGCATATAAATGACTGCAGCTCTGAAAGAAGCTCGGGCACAACAGTGTGAAGCAGAAACATCGTTTCTGTCAGCTTCTTGCTCTGCATTGAAAAAAGGAATCCCTGAGCATGGCTTTTCTGCCCTCCTGTTGCTCAGCATGGTGCTTGGACGCTGAATGGCTAAAGCATCTTTCAAAAGTGGAGCCTTGTGGGAGCCAGCCTCAGCATTAGTATTCTGCAGCCATTGCTGCCTGTGCCCATCAGCACCAGATGCTTGCAGAGCCAGCCTCAGCAGAGCACCAGAGCATGGCACAAAGCCATCCTCAGGATCTAAGGTTATATGTACAGGAGAGCAATCACCCTTTTTTTTTTTGAGCTAGAAGCAACTATGCTGAAGGCAGAAAAGTGTAACAAATCAGTACAGACAGAGCTTCAGTATCTATGCCAGTAAAGATGCTTTTACTGCAACACTTTTACACCTTTAATTATGTGGCTTCTGTGCTTATAAAATGGCAGCCCTTTCTGTTTTGGTAAGAAAAAGAGAAACATAAGAAAAGCAGAAATATGAGGCGAGGATCTAAGCGAAAGTTCCCCTGAAGTGATGATAAGTTGCAAATTGTTTCTATGTTACTAACAAGTTTTTTTTGCTACAGCTGACAAGGAAGGGGGGAAATTACACCATTTCTCATGACACCGTTCAATTTGCCCCTGGCAAATTGTCACAGAAGCAAATGAAAGCTTTGCATATGTATTAGCCTTCCTGTGTTACCAGTTAATCCCACAGAAAATATTAAAATGCTGAGGCATCCATTTGAAAATAAGCTCCACTGTTCTCACAGCTTTTACATTTTTTTCTTTCCTATGACAGATGGGGATTAGTTCTCTTTGTGTTGGCAAAGCATTAACATTGCTAAGAGGTAACTGCTACCAGTATTTTATAATTCTAAACTATCTACTCCTCTGTCAGGTGGCATTAACAACCCATGACAGGTTAAAGCAAACTGTCAGCCCAAATGCTGCAGGGCTGTCTCACCTGCTGATCCTAAAGCTGGAAGCTGAAGGTGTCCTGATATTTTATGATTGGGCGTTGACTGGGCCCTTTTCTATGTATTACTTTTATTTTGTTGCTGGTGCAATATTGCTGAATGGAGAAAACAAAGTCCTGTAAAACAGAATATCAGTCTTACCCTGTGGTTCTTCCTCCCTTCTTTCCCCTGCCTGGGAACCAGGATTTTTTAATCAGAAAGATAATCTGACAGAAAGCAGTGGGTGCTGTCAAGTTTGACTGTGCCAGCTGCCTCATTTCGTATGACTTCACTGAAATTCAAGCTTGTTTGTTGTGAGGACAGACAGGACAGGTACTTGTCTGTCTAGCCCAGTTGTCTATGCTACCTGCTAGGCTTGTAGAGAGAGGCTGCTGTCTCTGAAAAACCTGCAGAGAATGATCTTGCCTCCCTAATTCCTTGCCATCCCCCTTACTCTGTAGGAAGCAGTGGTGTCTTCAGAAGACAACTGTCTTGGCATCCAGAGCTACCCAGTCCTCCCCTGGCCAGAGGTGCCTAGCAAGAGGGCTATGACAACAGTGGTGATCTGGTGACACAAGGGTGAAGTGGGAAGCAGTGGGCCAAGTGCTCTGCTCCCTTGGGGTGGAGAGTTGAGGGCACAGACACCACCCAAGAGGTGCATAAGGATTCCAGTATCTGGTAACACCATCCTTGCTGCAGCTGGCCAGGAAGACAATGCTCCTGGCCCAAAGCAGGCACAAGCAGGTGTAACTTCAGGTCAGCAACCCTAGCAGTTGGGAAGTAGCTAGGCTCATCTGGAGGTACAGGGAACTGGAGCTACAACTCATTCTCCCAGGAGTATGCATGCATTTTACATTAAACAAGACGAGGCAAAATGTCCCTGGAAGAAATGAGCAGTTTTCTCCCATGACACCTAAATAACCCTAGCTTAGAGAAGCTTCCCTCTTGCATCTGCTTTTTAGCCTCAGGACTGTTGCACACCTGGCTCCAGCAGAATGGATACTGGGTTATCCAGCCGAGACCTGGTAGGCTGGTCCCTCTTTAATCTGTGAGAGGTTGTACTGCCGCTGGAGCTGCCCTGCATGAAGACTTCTAACTTCTCAAGGCAGTGCTCCAACCATTTTTTTTATTTCAGGAGAAGTCACCACCTTCAGCAGTCTTGACACAAATCTCATTTTCCAGGCTTCTCCCGTGGACTTGGCTGGAAATCCACTGACTGCCCAAAACCAGCACATAGCAGAGCTTAGGAAGCTCTTAGGAAATGTCTCTCGTAACCCTGAGTTGGTGAATCAAGATACGGACCTAAAGACCTCTCAGACTCACCAGGAGATACTTAATGAAGGGTTATATACAGGGTTAGGCAAACCTGACAAGTGTGTGAGCTAGGATGGAGGCTCTGGGAAAGAGAGATTTTGGGCAGACTGGATCCCAGCTCCAGTTTGTGCATGGGAAAGTGCCTTTCCAAACTCAGCCAGTATTTTAAATTTTCCAGCCACCAACATTTTCAATCTTCTGTCTGGGAAACTCGGAGGAAGGATTCAACCTATAAATACTTGACATCAATATTTTTTTTGTTGACCCGCAACACCAACTTCCATTTTCCTGCTGTGGTAGGCTGCTTCCTGGGAACCAGTGCCTGAACCAGTCTTAAACCATACAGACTAGATTTCTTTATCACTGCATCAAGAAGTAAGATTTCACATTTCATTTGACCAAATTGCATGATGCACTGCAAGAGATGTAACTCAGGCAATAGGAGAGGGTCAGAGTGAATGCACCAAACACCTGAACTGCAACTCCCATTGGGTAGTACTTTATTTTCAGGAAATAATTGCTATCAGGAAGCAATGAAATAATTCAAACTGAACATCACAGACCATATTATTTCATTGTTAATAAATAAAAATATTTTAACTGTGGGAATGAAAAATTACTGTATAAATAATGTCAGAAAAAAAGCACTATAATATTTCCTAATTGAAACTTCACAAGATTTCTGTTGCAAAGAAAATGTTAATATTTCCCTATTTCAGTCCTATTCCTTCCACAAAGAAATGTTAAGATGGTACCATTTCTCACTGAACAGGACCTTCACATTTTA